TATTGATTGGGAAATTACTAATCAAGTTATTTTCTAAATATTAGATCCTTTACAATGGCTTAATTTTCCGATGATGATTAAGGTTATGCTCTTATAGGAAGTACAAAACTACATTTGGCGCAAATACTTCACATTTTGGATATTAAGCACAATTTGCTAGAGAGAACGAGAACATTTTTATCAGCCTTACCTCAAAGCCATAGAGGAATACTACTTTGAAAATAGTTTACCAAATAAAGATAAGGAACAAGAAGAATGGAAGAAGATCCATAATCTTAGTGCAACACAGTATAAGATAGACAGTCTTTTAACTGTGTCACAAGCTGCTTCAAGTAATAATGACAACAGATGGAAGAAGACTATTTGTTACTAATTTTTCCATGACATTTCAAAGAACTCTCGAGCAAATGCATGAGGCACATAAAATGTTATTGAACATGGCTAAACAATTATCAAACCCAGTTCAAGTTTCATTAATATTAACGAGCTGAGCTAAGCTCGATAAGTAAACGAGCCGCGCTCGAGCTCAGCAAAACTCAGCTCGGCTCGGCTCGGCTCGGTTCATTTGCAGCCCTAATGATAAGCAGATGAAAGAAGGCTCTTTGTTACTAATTTTTCCATGACATTTCAAACGATTCTCGAGCAAATGCATGAGAGACGTAAAATGTTATTGAACATGGATAAACAATTAATTTAGATCCTCTGCTTGATCTAGCAATGACTGCGGATAATGTAGAAGAATTTAAAAATTAGCAGTTCAGTTAAAATCCTGATTCAGCTCCATCAAAAGATGATGTTGAATATCTCAACATTATTAATGCAATGGAAGCATAGTGAACCTCAATAATTAATCCACTATTAATTGTAGAAGACTCCGAATTTACTGTAGAGTAATCTGCACAACTTGGCAGAAGTGATTAGATAAGTAATAGCAGCCAACGTTACAAGAGAAAATTACTTTAGATAAAAGTAAATGTCAGTAAATAATAGTTATCTCCCCCAAATAGAGAGTACAACGTGTGTAGTGAAATAATTATGAAAGTGAGATCATTAATAAAGTAAAGGGTACTTATCTGTAAGTCCTAATAGGTGGACGTATTGTCTAATAGATCTTACGAAAAAAATTTGTCATAAAAAAGTTTACATTTAACTTAATGTAGTTTGAAAAACTCACATTGTGAACAACAAAGTGAAGTTTCAAAAACATATGAGAAGCCTAGCCAACAAACTAATTGAACAAACAACTAAGTTAAATGGTTTACAAAATTTTGCTTTAGTATCATTAAACAACTGAATTGGAATGAAGATTTTCATTTTGAAAAATCAAATAATTTTCTTCAATTATCTACCCTCATAGTAGATCAGTTTTAGGATCCAATTTTTGAAAAAATAAAAAGAATTTGTCTCTTTAAACAAGCAAGAACTTTACTTTCAAAAGAGATTTTTTTTGTTTTTTTTTTCCTTCCATAAAATAACAGGTCGAAGATCATCGCAAAAAGATTAAACAAATCTTTTTGCAATATTTTCACAAAATCAATTACAATGATGGAATTCCCAAGTTAACCATTATGACAAATCATGAAGAATGGTCTTTGGAAAATATTGATTGGGAAATTACTAATCAAGTTATTTTCTAAATATTAGATCCTTTACAATGGCTTAATTTTCCGATGATGATTAAGGTTATGCTCTTATAGGAAGTACAAAACTACATTTGGCGCAAATACTTCACATTTTGGATATTAAGCACAATTTGCTAGAGAGAACGAGAACATTTTTATCAGCCTTACCTCAAAGCCATAGAGGAATACTACTTTGAAAATAGTTTACCAAATAAAGATAAGGAACAAGAAGAATGGAAGAAGATCCATAATCTTAGTGCAACACAGTATAAGATAGACAGTCTTTTAACTGTGTCACAAGCTGCTTCAAGTAATAATGACAACAGATGGAAGAAGACTATTTGTTACTAATTTTTCCATGACATTTCAAAGAACTCTCGAGCAAATGCATGAGGCACATAAAATGTTATTGAACATGGCTAAACAATTATCAAACCCAGTTCAAGTTTCATTAATATTAACGAGTTAAGCTGAGCTCGAGCTCGATAAGTAAACGAGCCGAGCTCGAGCTCAGCAAAACTCAGCTCGGCTCGGCTCGGTTCATTTGCAACCCTAATGATAACAGATGAAAGAAGGCTATTTGTTACTAATTTTTCCATGACATTTCAAACGATTCTCGAGCAAATGCATGAGAGACGTAAAATGTTGTTGAACATGGATAAACAATTAATTTAGATACTCTGCCTGATCTAGCAATGACTGCGGATAATGTAGAAGAATTTAAAAATTAGCAGTTCAGTTAAAATCCTGATTCAGCACCATCAAAAGATGATGCTCAATATCTCAACATTATTAATGCAATGGAAGCATAGTGAACCTCAATAATTAATCCACTATTAATTGTAGAAGACTCCGAATTTACTGTAGAGTAATCTGCACAACTTGGCAGAAGTGATTAGATAAGTCATAGCAGCCAACGTTACAAGAGAAAATTACTTTAGATAAAAGTAAATGTTAGCAAATAATAGTTATCTCCTCCAAATAGTGAGAGTGACGTGTGTCGTGAAATAATTATGAAAGTGAGATCATTAATAAAGTAAAGGGGTACTTACGTGTAGGTCTTAATAGGTAGATTTATTGTCTAATAGGTCCTATGAGAAAAATTTATTATAAAAAAAAATCACTAATTGTAAGTTTTAGCGACAATTTATAAAAATTATGACAAAAAAAAGTAACTAATTATCAATTTTTAATGACAATTTTACCAAGACTTATTTTCAATAGGACTTGATGAAAATTAAGTTCAACTATTAAGACCAATTAATAATTTATCCGAAAGTAAATAGATAAAGTTGTATGCTGTGAACGTCAAAATGTTGTTTTGAAATCCGCTATACTCTTGTATAAATAGACAACTTCGCCATTAGTAGTACACATGTAAATTCTTACCGTCAAAGTCTCCTTCCTACCTTTGCCTAACTTCATAAATATCATAAATATTAGTCTTGTTTAGTGTAACGACTACCACCATCAATAAAAAAAATTTATTACCTAACTACGTAATCTTTGACCAATGAACTATTGATTTATGCAAACAAAACTTTGCCAAAAATATAACAAACCATCAAACACGTAACTTAGCTGGTAAAGGGCTATGCTAGCTTAACCAAGATCTCGGGTTTGAGACTTGGGAACGCAGCTGTGTTTAAAACCTTGTTGGGAGAGCTCTGCCGCCCTTGTGATCCGACACGGCTCGAACCGGATTAGTCGGAATCCTCGGTGGTTTAGACCTAAAACAAATATATATATATATATAACAAAAAAATATAAGGGTTGACCAGATGAAATGAATTTGATTTTGACATTTGAAACTTTGAATTTCATTATATATTTGTAATGCATAATTTTTATTACAGGTTATGAAATTATTTTATAATTATCTTAAATTAAAAAAAAATATCATTACAAGTACAATTCTGACATTTAACTCAAGCGGATGGGCCCACAAAGTTTAATTTCATGTCCAATACTGTTTCTACTCTTGAATTGAACTGTTTTTTATTTATTTTTTGTGTGAAACCACTCTTGAATTGAACCCTTTTTTATTTTTGTTTTTATTTTTATTTTTTGGGTCCACAAAGTTTAATTTCATGTCCGCTATTTGTTTGCACTCTTGAATTGAACCTTCTATTTTCTTAACATTTTGTGTGCAACCACTCTTGATTGAACCCTTATTTATTTATTTATTTATTTTGTGCAACCGCATATCTAAGAGCATCTCTACAATCATCAAATTAAAATTTGATAACAAAAACTACATAAAAATTATCTCATCAAATTAAGAGTAATTTTTTCATCAAATCTAAATTTTATAAAAATTTAAAAAGAAGAAACATTAAAAATGATTATATATATATATATATATATTTGATGGGAAAAAAAATTGGAGACGAGATTTTTTTAAAAAAAATTGATGATGAATTAAAGTAATTCATATAAAATTAAACTTCTTACTCAAATTTAAAACACGAAAAAATTGGTGAAAAGCTAAGCTAGTAATCTTTGAAAGTTTTTTTTTTATCGCATGAAAGGTGAAATGTGAAGTCCGCATAAGGTTAATAGAAATAAATAACCACTCAGCAGCATTATTGAATAAGTAAATTCCAGAAGAGAGAATCAAAATCAAAATCAATAAATAATAGATAAACGACTGACCGTAGTTCCAAAATCACTACGTTTCTTTATCATTATTTTTTTTCCCATCATTAAATAAGAAGACAATCTACAAAAGGAGATTTTAGGAGGGAATGACAATAAACCCAAACAAAAAAACAGAGACTTGAAAACTTTCCTCCCTCCCAAATTCCCCATGTGAAAAAACATTCCTAGACAGGTCGTGAAAAAACTATGTAGCACACGGATGGTTGGATAAAGGAGGATGATAAAATCAAAGAATCACCAAATTGGCCACAAAACAAAGACACTTTGGACTACTATTTTCACTCCAAAGGGCATAGTAGTTAGTTAGTGGATGATGCAGTTGCAGTTGCAGTTGCAGTTGCTGTTGCAGTTGCAGTTGCTGTTGCTGTTGCTGTTGCTGTTGCTGTTGCTGTTGCTGTTGCGGCAGCTCTGATCTGATTCTGATCAACAAACTTCATTCAGTCTTTCCTTGGGTTGGGAGAGAGGGAGAGAGAGAGAGAGAGCCCATGACCAGCCAACCAGCCAGCCAGCCATACACGAAACGATACCAATGAAAGAATTACTCACTATCACTATGCAGTTGCAGTTGCAGTTGCAGTTGCTGTTGCTGTTGCTGTTGCTGATGCTGATGCTGATGCTGATGCTGATGCTGATGCTGATGCTGATGCTGATGCGGCAGCTCTGATCTGATTCTGATCAACAAACTTCATTCAGTCTTTCCTTGGGTTGGGAGAGAGGGAGAGAGAGAGAGAGAGAGAGAGCCCATGACCAGCCAACCAGCCAGCCAGCCATACACGAAACGATACCAATGAAAGAATTACTCACTATCACTATCACTATCAGTATCACTATCTGGTGATTACCAACCAATCTGTGCAGCAATTTCTTTTTGCAATCTCCCTCTAAAATTCTAAAATCTCCCCTTCAGCTATCTTGCTGCCCTGCTCAAAACAATTAACTGGAAGGTCCTCTGCAAAACATGTACAACTTATAGATATATATATATATATATATATGTATGTACAACGCACGGCGGTTCATCATCCAGCATTGCCAGCAACCTCAGCAGCCCGTTGCCTCATCATCTCCATTACTGCTGCCCTTCGTCGGGAATCAGATTGCTGTTGCAGCCTCCTCAAATGTTCTTTCAAATCTCTGGAATTATTTTTAAAAAATCACTATCATATACAAAAAGTATTTATGACATGTTCAAGTCCTAATAAGTAAAGCTTCCATATAGAGGGGAAGGGGAAGGGGAAGGGGAAGGGGGAGGAAGTTGATAATGATGATGTACAAACCTGCAACGTGGTACATGGCATTCAGATTCCTTGCAAGCTCGAGCATGAAGTTGAAGCAGATACCACATTTTCCTACAGAGAACACAACCTCCAGAAGCACGTGTTTTGCATTGTATACCATGGCGGAAAAGACCCTTCACCTTGCGACAATTTGGATATTGACAATGTGGAGAACGGCACTGAGATGCGTGCACCAGAAGGTCAAGCATTTTTCTAAGCTGCATATCAAAAAAAATAATCAAAATCATCATGTCAAGCATTGTGTAGAAAACATGAAACTTTTTTTTCAAAAAAAAAAATCATTCTATTAACAACACTTTAAATGACAAGATTTAACAGGTAATGGAAGTACATGGAAAATTGACCTACAGATGTAAACTATTGAAAACACTGATGAGAAATTTTTGATTTTTGATGAGTGACAGAAGATAAGACAACAAAACTTACAGTATGTGAAAACAGAGAAACTATAATTCATAATTCTTTATGCTGAACTGATCATATGTTAAGAACAACATAGCAACACATATTCCAAACTTCTCAAACCATCAAACGTTCTTTCTATTGTTAAAATATCAGCCATAGAGTGCTTGGCTGTGGACAATTGGAATAACTAGATGCCTATCTGACAATTGTTTTGTTTCCTGTGTTTATATTTCATGATTTCTATGAAACAAACATAATTTAATGGTGGTGTTATTGCTTTTGTAGTTTAACTGTGTACCATATTAAGAGCCAAATATGGGCACAAAATAGAATCTGTTCACTTGTTTCCAGAACAAGTTGGCATCTGTAATCCATGCACTTAGAAATACAGAAAAGCCTTATTTGGTTCAGCACCCACAAGCAACAAAGACAATTTTTTACATGCTAAAAGGCCTTCAAACCCAGCGTTACCAGAGAACACTAGTAACCTAACAATTTACATCTTGGAATGCACATTCCGAAACATAGTCCACTTTGTGCCAAAATGGTAAATTTAGCGATCCAAAATAACCCCAATTTTTCCCCTATTTATTTCCTTAAAGATTTTCTCATGAGGGGAAAAAAACAAATTCTGATATAACAAACTGAAGTACATGGAGAATGGAGTTTTGGCCAGACAAAATGTTTAAAAAAATGGGCCATAATGCTCTTAAAAATGTGTTTTTACATAATTAAATTGGAAAAAAAAAACAAACTACGTCATTAGCCATCTAATTGTTAAATATGAATGCTTTTTTTTTTTTTTGGGTTGATAAATTGGTTAAAATAAGAATGCTTTAAAATACCTTAAATTCTGATGGCATGATGAATACAAGTCTACCCTATTGTATCACATCTTAAAGCATGTGATGTACCCACATTTCATTCATGTTCTACCTACTAGAACGATCCACATATTTGAACAAACATAATGCAGCATGTGATGTACCCACATTTCATTCATGTTCTACCTACTAGAACGATCCACATATTTGAACAAACATAATGCACCGAATTTAAACCAAAAACACAACTTTTAATGTTAGAAAAGTGTAAGGTGCAAGAAATTAGGGTTAGGGTTAGGATAGGAGAGACTGAGAATGAAGAAGAAAAGAGAAGAATTCAGACTAAGAGGTTTCGGGTGTACATGAAACCCTCCACCTTAGCACATATTTATATTACAACAATAGAATATGATAGTATGACAATAATACTTAAAGATGCTTATAAACTCTTATCTTTGAATTAAAATCGGTGTTTCATAATGCTTATGGAACCCTTGAATGAGATTTATGAGTGTCAAACCCTTGAAAAACAAGTATTTAATGTTCAATTTGGAATTTGACACATTAAATTCATAGGGATAAGTTTATCAATCACTATTTAAACTCATAGAAATAAACTGGATACAGAGCCCATGATCAGTTCATGCTTTTCTGGCCATAACTCTATACATATAATTTTTTGTAGTGAGATCAAGACCAAAGTAGACATCCATACCTTTCCAATGATAGGTCACAGAAAAAAATCCGAGCTCAAATGAGAGAGATACGCTTGTTTTAAGTTGCAACATCAAATATTAATGTTAGTCATGAGCCCAAATTGATAAAGCAAGTGTTCTCTATGTCTAGTCGTCCTAGCGACCCTACAAGTCACTCCAGCGGCCAGCAACAATTTGTACTTTTGTGATGCTTAAGTGACTTGGACCCTACCTATGTATACAAATTGGACTTATGAATGAAGTATTTGACTTGTACTGGGAAATAACCTAAGAATGGAAACAGTTGAAGGGAGATAATAGCAAATAGAAATACCTTGTAGCACAAGGCAAGTACGTGTAGGATAATGTGATGCAAGAAAGCACTGTAAGGGGCTGTTCTGGGCCTATGAAAGCACTGGAAATTTAAGAAAGAAATAAAGGAGAAGAAGATAGGTCTAGGAATCAAACCTAAAATCCCTTAGGCTTCACATCTAGGATTTAATTGCATCACACAATCCATAAGAAAGCTTCAAAACTCTGAAAATTCTCTAGTATATCAACTCTATTGAATTAGAAGTATTACGTAACTTTGTATAGTCTTTAGAGATTTCTTATTTCAACTAAACTACTAAAAATACTTTTGACTTTCCAAGCCAATTTAAGGCCAAATAAGAAACATAAATAAAAACTAATTAAAAAAAATAAATACTTCGAATTATCAAAACGAATCATGTAATAAGCCAATCCTTTGAGAAAATAACTTCATATCAACTGTTTGTAAGCCTATGTAATTAATTATAAATAATATAAGAGAAAATTGGTGAAAAATCTATTACAAACGAGATACAAGGAATTAGATATAAGGTAAAATCTTATTTGATAATAAGGATAAACAGGAAAAGTTATCAAAAAAGTTGTTAAAAAATTAATCGTAAAAGTCGCCGCTGATTAGCCAATCAACAGTGGCAGTGGTTGGCAGCAGTAGGTGGTGGTAGTGAGTAGAGAAATGTGTGATATTTAATAGATATGATGTTAAATGAGTGACATATGTCACATTTCAACAGATAAATTGTTGAATGAGTGACATGTGCCTTATTTTCAATAGATAAGTATTTTCGTGAATTTCAACAGATAGAGAGATATATTGATTTCAAAAGATAGATAGATAGGTTGATTTTAACAGAGTGATTCTATTTACACACCATAAATTGTCTCAATAGACACCATTACTTAGTTCCACCTTTGTTATTTTTAACTTTTGATATTGTACTCAAAACACACAACAATCTTCTTTTTTTATCCTAAGAGAGTAAAAAAAAAAAACAAAATGAAGATCTCAATACACACCACTATATACATCATATTGTATACACAGTTCACCCTCACTTTCACCATAACTATACATGGGTGGTGATGACGCATGAACGAAATGATTGCTAGCATTAAAGATCTTGGACTCTAACCACCGAACAAATATGAAAATTACCAAAATAACCCTAAACTAAAAATCCTAAAAAAAAAAAAAAAAAATACAATAATCATAAAATAAGACTAATAATCTTAGACAGATACAAGCTTCGAAATTGCAACGACGACTTCACATTAAAATCTTCAAGTTATCTCCATCTTTTCTTCGTTGGAGATAAAAAGAAAAATAACGAGAGATTAAACTTTTCAATTCTGCCACCAAATTTGCATGGAATAACAAAGTCAATTGGCATAGGGCACACATCTGTGAATTGATCCGAATAAGCGATGAAGGGGGTATACAGCGAAAGAAGTATTGAAGGGGTCATCTTGGGTTACTGAAGAGTCGTCTGATGCCGATGGTGACACTGGTTGGGTAAAGACTCTAATGGTGTGGCCATGTGCAATCGAATGGGTCATTTTATTCCCCCCATGTGTGCGGGAACACAGAAAGACATTATCACCTTCGCGGCAGTAGAGTATATTTCCATCATTACCAAAAAGTACACGGATAGCCACCCTTTCCTAGGCCAGACAGGAGTTGAAGACCATAAGTGAAGATAAGTTTCTTTCTTTGATATTCCCACCAACAATCTTGATGCCTTTCATTTTATTCTCTTTTCCCAACACAAGATCATCTTTCGATACCGTTTTGGCCACTTCACAGATTATGATTGAAGCAAATTCACTAGGTGACTTTATGGGTTGGAGACCTCAAATTGCAATATCATGACCTCTAAAGGCATAATAAGTTCTGAACCAGCAGCAAGCTGATTTAATTCTTTAGAACCAATCATCATCTTGAGTAATAATTAGATCTTTTTGGGGTGCTTTTGAACCATCAATAAGAGCTTTTTCACCCTCATTATCTTTGTCATTCATCATTTTGGTTTGATTTCCATTCTCTTCCTCCACTTGTAACTCTTAACAGCTTAGAGTATTGATGTTCAACAACATTCATTGTCTTCAATGGTTCATCAGAGGACTTTGGCAACAAATTAGCCACATCCAAGCACAGATTAGGTGTAGGACCAGCCGTGGAATTTTCCAATAGTGCAGTTACCTTGGCACAAATGTCATCCAATTTGTTACTTTCAACTTTTTGTGCTTCCAGGACAATACTTTGAAGCAAAGTCCCACATCACCGAAGTGCTAAAGTAATGTTAAGCATATAAACATGAGGGCACCTTCACCTTAATAGCTAGCTTTTGGGATTGAGTTCTATCCAAGATTGTGTAACATAGTATCAAAGCTCCGAGGATTGGTAGGGTGTGTCCCTAGCCTGCACACCGCAGGTGCTGCTGAGTGAGCACGTTGGGCATAAGGGAGATTGTGAATCAAAGTCCCACATTGCCTGAATACAAAAGTAATCTTAAGCATATAAGCGTGAGGGCACTCTCACCTCAATAGTTGGCTTTTGGGGTTGAGTTCTACCTAAGACCGTGTAACAAATACATCCAACCTCAATTGGAGGCTTCTCAACCTTCATAATCTGGTTATCCTTCATCTTGTGCAAATTTTGATTGTTCTCCTTCACTTGTAGCTTCAATTGCATAAGCTTTTGATCTTTTAACTCTAGCTCTCGGTTTTGGAGCAACTTCTTATGTGTATTTTTTTTTTTTTTTTGGATCAGCAACAAAGAAAGATTTTATTAAGGCACAAAGCCAAAAGAAGGGAGGATAAGGCATCCTCTAAAAAAGAATACCAAGTTAAAACTTACAAAAACAACAAAAGGAGGCGAAACCCAAAACGATGAAAAACACTACATGTCACAAACTGACACCCAATCTGCTGCAATCAAAAAAG